CCAAAGCCTTGCACATGTGGCCAAGTGCTCTACTCCAGAACTGCATCCCCAGCCCTGTTCTTAATTCTTTTTTTAAAGATTTATTTACTCATTATGTATACAGTATTCTGCCTTCATGTATGCTTTACACCAGAAGAGGGCACCAGATCTCATTACAGATGGTTGTGAGCCACCCTGTGGGTGCTGAGAATTGAACTCAGCCAGTGTTCTTCATTTCTGGACCATCTCTCCAGTCCCGTTCTTAATTCTTGTATCAGTTGGTGGATAGCATTTACTGCTCACCTGTCATGCTAGTGCCAGTACCAAATTACAGGTGCAAGGCACAGACCGAAGAGTCGTTGGCACTAAAGCTGTATTGTTCCTTCACCGACACACAGCCTGTTTTATCCTTGGTACCTCGTTCAGTTAGTTTGCTTCTTCCACAGGTATGGCACGTCACAGCAAGTACCATCTCAGACAAGGGTGTTGAGATCATCAAATCTCCCTGACCTGCTTGCTGTTTGTTACATTTTTGCTATGCCCTGATTCTGTATCTATTTAATGGCGCCATGTTGCCCAGGAAGGTTATCATCATCCATTCAAAATACCAGCTATCTCCTAGGTCCTATAATACCTAAAAGGAGCCACAAGGACAATAAAAGATGCCATTTGATCTCTATTTGATCTCTGTGTGTGTGTCTCTCTCATTCTCACATACACAGAGCAGTTTTTAAAAATGAATTAATTTTACAGTACATGAGTGTTTGCCTGCATGTGTGTCTGTGCGCTATGTGCATGTGGCCACAAAGACCAGAAGAGGGCGTCAGAAGCCTTGGAACTGGAGTTATAGAAGGTTGTGAGCTGCCATGTGGGTACTGGGAATTGATCCTGGGTCCTCTGGAAAAGCAACCAGTTCTCTTCTGAGTCATCTTTCCAGTCCCCAGCAGTATATATTAAAGAATGGGAAAGAAGAAAAAGAGGAGGAGGAGGAGGAGGAGGAGGAGGAGGAGGAGGAGGAGGAGGAGGAGGAGGAAAAGAAGGGCATAATCCCAGAGGGAACAGAGCCCAGAATCTGTGCTTCTAGGACGCTTGGAAGTCTCTCTGTAAGGGAGAGTCTACCTTGCCCCAGGCCCTAAGGTTAGAGTAGCACGTAACCAGTCCCTCACTGCCTAGGTTGATCCATAAAACAGACCGCCATGGAGACTTGAACTACACTATTGTGTTGCCCATTTCCTAATTTTTACACACGTGGAACACACAATCACACACACTCATTCGTCCCCACTCAGATTTCTCTAATTAAAGAGCAGAAAATTGAGGAAAACCAATAACTTCAGAGACTAACAGAAAAGGTTTCGATTTTAATGGACACAACTAGTGTTTCCGGGTGGAAAGAATAGAGGATTAGGGAGCAGTGGGCAGTATTCTTCCTTGACTGTATAATCAAGTCATATTAATATAACTTGGCCCAAACTTACTTTCTGCTCATGAGTAATAACGAGACAGGCATTTCAAATCAGTGCTGAGTTAATGTTTTTAGAGCAATTATTTAATTTTCAAAGCCCAATTATCTGTCAAGTAAATCACCAATTTCCAGTTCATTCTTATTTAATATAAAAAAATCTAATTAGTATAAAGCTACTTCACAGCTGCCTTCAAATTAAACTGTAGTTGAGAGCACGCAGCCTCGGGGGCTTGCCTTGGCATATTCAAACCAAACACGTTTGCTCATACGTGAAAGAATAATGCCAAAAGTTATGTTTTATGTTGCTGTTTAAAACTGTGCTTTGTAACTTCAGAATTGAACTTGTAATATATGCTTCCAAACACAGGATTGGCTGCGGAGAGAATCATAAAACAGACATGTTGTCTTTAAACCACTTGATTATCAAATCCTGAGAGTTGTAAGAATGACCAGCTCGGCTACTAATACACTCCAGTTAGTCACTCTTCCTTGCTTTAAGTAGCATGCTGGATCACAGCTTTGCAGACTTCCCTTCCTTTTATTGTATTTTTATTTGTATACAAAATAAAGGGCTTTTTAATGAAATCCTCATGTATACTTATCACTGAGCTTCACCCCTATCCACTCACCCATCACCCCTTTTCTTCTGTGGGCCCTTTCTCCCCAAATTGTCTCCCTTGGCCTTCCATGTCAGATAGGTAGAGATCTGCCTCAAAATAAAGCACATAATATCTTATAATTGTACTATTTGGCTTTCTCCCATTACCTTCTTGTTTTCCTCCCTTCTCCCCTTAACCACCTTCTGCTACATAGTTCTACAGAGTCCACCTTCAACTCTCATGTCTTTTAAAAATCCAAATTCTGCTATAATAGAAACATGCTTGTCTTTCTGGATCTGGCTTGTTGCATTTAACACGACGATCTCCAGCCTTTTCTTTTACTGGGAATGTCATAATTTTGTTCTTTCTTTACTGGTGAATGAAATAACATTATGTTTGTGCACGTGTGTGCATGTGCATTTAACACAATGATCTCCAGTCCTCTTTTTTTTTTTTTTTTACTGGGAATGTCATAATTTTGTTCTTCTTTCTTTACTGGTGAATGAAATAACATTATGTTTGTGTATGTGGGTGCATGTACATTTCTTTATCCAGTGATTGGATCTAAACTGACTCTCTAGGTTTATTCCTAGAAATTTGATGCTTTTTAAAACATTTTGTGTGTATGAGTGCTTTGCCTGCATGTATGTCTGTGCACCGAGTGCATGCCTAGTGCCTGAGGAAGTGGTGAGCCTCCTTGGGAGTGTTGGGACCAGACTCTGGGTCCTTTGCAAGAACAGCAAGTGATCTTAACCACTGAGCCAACTCTTCAGCCAGATACCTCGTAGTTTTTGAAGCTATTGTGAATGGGATTTTTTTTTAAACCTGAAACTTCTTAGAAAGCTTTCTCACTGATATAGAGACAATTTACTAAGTTTTTAATGTTGATTTGTATTCTGCTCCTTTGCTGAAAGCATTTATCAGATCTAAGTTTCCTGAGAGTCTCCGAGTATTTTAAGTATTATCTGCAAAAGGGATAATTTGGTTTTTTTATGATTTTCATCTCTTCTGTGTCTGTTTTATTGGGTTATTGTTGTAATTAAAATTTCAAGCATTATAACAGATTAAAGTGCAAAAATAAGGCTGGATTAGTGGCACACACCTTTAATCCCAACACTTGGGAGGCAGAGGCAGGTGGATCTCTGAGTTCAAGGCCAGCCAGGTTACACAGTGAGTTCCAGGACACCCAAGACTGTACAGAGAAACCACATCTCAAAACAAAACAAAAACCAACACCCCTTTGTCTCTATTGAGATGATCACGTGGTTCCTGCCTATGAGCTTGTCTTACATGGACCAATTTGTGTGTTGAATCATCCTTGTATTGATGAGAATGGGATATTGAAGTTGAAGTTGCCCACTATTACTTACCTGGACAGACCTGCCATTTATAACTAGGCGTGGTTGTTATGTTTGTGAACTTGAGTACACCATTATTATATCTTCAGGATGAATTGCTCCCGTCAGTAACAGGCAATGACATTCTTTTATGGTTTTGCCTGAGGTCACCTCACCAGAGTTAGTCCTAACTTTGGTGCACCAACTCCCATCATTTGGTGCTCTCTCAGCATGTCTGCCAGAGAGATGCTTTTCTTTTCTTTCTTATTTTGCTTAATATTTCTCATTTTATATACCAACCCCAGTTCCCCCTCCTCCCTTTCTCCCCTTACCCCCTCTACTCGTCAGAGGGGTAAGGCCTCCTAAGAGGTGTTTTTCAGCCCAATAGTTAGGTCTTTTTAACGGCAGTTTACATTTTGCGCTACTGAGAGGGACTGACTGGTTGTTGTTCTACTTTTGTTGTTTTCCTGTTTGCTTCAATTACTGATTGTCGTTATTGTCTGTTTCCTTAGTAGTATTCGAGTTCTCTGAGTTGAACACAATTGATTCTTCACTAATCTGGGTTTGATTTGTTTTGTCCTTGCTCCTCTTGTTCACCTACTCCTCTCCTGAACTTTATTCCTTTCTGTACTCTGATTGTGATTTTCTTCCTCTGTGTGGGATTCCTTTACTATGTTCCGCAGTGCTGGCTTGGTGGGCATGTGTTTGCTTAGTCTGTGCCCGCCTTGAAATGCTTGTTAATTTCTCTGTCAATTTTAGAAGATAATTTTGCTAGATATACTCAAATATCCCTTATGCAAGTAAAGACATGTGGGGAGTCTTTTACTTCACAAGTGGACAAGCACTTACAAAGAATAACTTCTGGGCTGGAGATGGCTCAGTTGGTAAAAACACTTGCTGAGCAACCATGAAGACCAGAATTTGGATACCGCCACCTACATGACAGGTTGCGTGTGACCTCTCATGTCTGTCCCTCCAGAACTGAGAGAGACCAAGAGTAGTAGGAGAATTAAAGGGGCTTGCTGTTTGCCAATGTAGCCAAAAAACCATGAGCTGTAGGTTCAGGGGAACCTTATTTCAAGGGAATAATGTAGAGGGTGACAGCAGACACATGCTGTCACCTGACCCACTCACACACCTGCACACATATACGAGAGCAGGGGTACACACCTACACACACAAATGAAAAAGAACAGCTGTTCTCTACCACAAGTGTGGTTGGCTTTACTTTTCCTTTCACATAAGAGTTTCACAGGGACAGGTATTTTTTAATATAAACAAACCAGTTACCATTTTTATTACATTAATTTATTTAGTATCTGTGTGAGGGTGGGCCCTGTGGGTCAGAGGACAACCTGCAGGAGTCAGCTCTCCCTGCCGTGTACCAAGTAGGAGATCCAGGACTGAACTCAGCTTGTGAAGCTGGGTGTACAGTGCTTCTACCCACTGCACCATCCTGCCAGCCCTAGACTGGTAAGTTTTTATTATAAGGAAATTTAAGAAATTCAAGGAAACATTTTTCTGTATTCTAAATTCTAAAATAATTCTTAAATAAATACTGAATGACTCAGGCCAGTCACTAAAATGCTTTATTTGCTATAAATAAACACAATGATATCAATTATGATCAAGACTTTGCCATTTTTTTCCATCTGGATATCAATATATTCTTTTATAAACAATGTCAAGAATTATGTGGACTCAAGTGGTTTGATACTTATATGTATATATTTCCAGAGCGACTATAAATATAGAAAGACTAAAGCAATGTGTTAATGATTAGTGAATAGTGAATTTCTAAGTAATTTTCTTTTCTTTCACATAGCTTCTGTATTTTGCATATTTTTCTGTAAGGAGAATATGTTAGCTTTAAAATAAAAAGGGTTTTATCCATTTATTCTACATATATACCAGTAAGAACTGTGCAAATACACACACAAGGGGAGAATTGAAGAGCGCTAACGGTGGCCCATCCTGTCCATCCCCTGAGAAGCATCTATGCAGTATAGTGCTGTGCCCACCTTCTCTGTTGCATTTTTTTAAAAGTTTTTATTGCAAATTGTTTTAGTTTTTAAGTGGTGGAACAATTCGTGTATTTCAAGTTCAGAAGAGTCTGCTAGTGGTCTGGACTGGAGCTGTCGGCAGATGAACTTCTGATACTACTGTACATTTTTTATGCATACTGATATTCTCAGGAATGGTTTTCTGACTTTTTAAAAATTGGTTTCTTTCACAAACAAGACATCTGCCTGTCACACAAACATCTGCCTGTCTTAATATAAAATGCAGCCCTTTTTAAAGAACAAATTCTTACATGCACTTATTCAGCATGGTGTTTAAATAATGCAACTTTTTTGTATCAGAGGCTTTACAGTAAAGAAAAATATTAAAAATATACAGTATAAAACAATTCTGAATTTACAATACTAATACTCCTGGCCATGTTTTTTGTTGTTGTGGGTTTTGTTAATGAGATTTATCCTTAGATTTTTCTTTTTCCTTTTTCTTCTGTTTTTCTTCTGCTTGTTTTTCAAAATAATCTTTAAGAAGACGGTCCAGCTGTGGTTCACACTGGCTTGCATGCTGCAATCCATCTTCCCTTCCTGAAGAGATACAGAACATAAGAACTGTTCTTTACAGGGGCTTCCATGTTATTGTCCCCTCAGGCATCTCCCAAGTGACATGGGCCCCAGCTTTTCCTCATAAACCACCCAGGAATTAAGCCCACAAAGTCAGTTTTGATTAAAAATGCTTGAAATAAGTACATTTTTATTTTACCTTCACAGTGTTGGATCACACGCCCCCATAGGTGATTTTTCCTCAAACAGGATAAGCTTCCCACAATCAACAAATGCCTTCTTCCTCTGGTCAACGCCACATTCATTCGCTTTTCTGAGTCGATGAACCCTACTTGTCTCGTTCTCACGCAGGACAGAATAATGATCTCTTTCTCAGCGCCCTGAAAGGCATCCACTGTGGACACCTGCACAGCTTTAACATCGGGATGGCCGGCGTCCACAGCGCTCAGTAAATGGCAAATCTGCAGAGAAAGGAGCAGACTCATAAAGTACAGAGATTATGAAGAACCTAGTCCCCAAACTGGTCAACACAACCATTTGAAGCAAACTAATTCAGGAACATCTTTTTTATAACTCATGAGGATTTAGGATAAAAGCCTCTAAAATTAAAAATGACATTATTTTTATTTATGAAGCATAACCGAGTGATGATTAACCTATTGCATGGATTTTATTTGTATATGATAATTTGAACTGATAAGAAGCTGATAATGAAAAAGAAAAATACTAAGAGAAAGAAGATTATAAAAATCTACTTAGAAGTAACTAGCTCTTTTGTACATCCTTAATTTACTGATGAAATATAATAATGCAAGAACATTTTGAAAAACAAGAGTCTCAATTCCATCTGTCCCCAGACACAAAGCATACACCACATTTTCTTCCTCTAATCTGTTTATTTGCATTTTGTCCCAACAGCTGTAAAGTGAATTTAATTAAACCTTGTTAGGTTTACATTGAGTTATGCAGAAAAAATCCAGGCCAGGAAAATACATCAGAATGTTCTTTTGTAAGTATACACATGACAGTCCCAAAGGTCTCAGGCACCAAAGTGAACTACTACAAACATAAAACCAAATATTATAAAATATGATGCTTAACATGTGACAAATATCACCCTATGCAGCACATACCTTGTACATCTGTGATTTGTATAATGTTATCACCCCAATCATGGAGCCCGCTATTCCACTTGCAATCAGTGATTGGATTAACTTGAGTGTAAAAGCAGCTTCTGCCACATTTTGAAAGCTGTTTTCTCTTTCAACCTGGAGCAAGAAACAGATCTCAAATTATCTTCCCAGAAAGGCCACAGGAAGACTCAGTGAAACCAGGCAAACAACAACAATAAAATTAAACCAGAAATTAAGTAGTGATTCCCATCAACACTGATGTCATTCACCTGCTCTGCTCCGGTAACATTATAGAAGCATAGCGTGGGCAGCCACTCCAGGACAGGGCTCCTCTCTGTCTCTGAGACGCCATTCACGAGGTTTCCTTCATAAAACAGATCGTTAGCTATGGCACTGATGACAGGGTGACAGCGGTATTGGGTTCTCAGCAGAACGGGTTTGTGACCCTAGAAATTTAGATGGAGGAAAACAAAAATTAAAAGACAGTATTTTCTTTTCTCTAGAGAAAGAAATCATATTTAAAAGTTTTTGTTACATCATGTTCTTAGATAAATTATGAGAGAACAGACTATAGATAAAATATTTTAAAACAAATTATAAAGTATGTTCACAGACTATAAAACCGAAAATTCAGAGTAAACCAACATTGTGCTTTTATAATCTCCTGGAGTTTGGTCTAATAGTGAAGGTCTTCTAACATTAGGCAGGCCTAGTATACAAGCCTGTGATCTCAGCTCTAGGGAGGCTAAGGCAAGCAGATCACAAGTGCAAGCTCTATCTGGACTAAACAAGGAGTTCTAAGCCAACTTAGACACTGTCTCAAAATGCCAAGTGAAAAGAGGGCTGTGGTGTTTGCCCAAGGCAACAGTGTTGCCTACTATCCACCAGGCCCTAGGTCAACAACTGCTACCACAGCAAGTTCCTGACAGTTTGTTCACTTTCTTCCTTCACAGCCACCTCTTCATCAGAATCTGCAAAGCAGCTCCAGCTCTCACGACTGCGCCCTTGCATCCCAGCCTCACCACTCCAGTGAGCTTCTGGAGAAAATTATCTGCAAAACTTCCTGGTGTTACTAAAACAAACCAAGCAATGCCGAGAGAAGAGAGCTGTGTCCGGGGACAGGAGCCAAGTGCTCAGGGAGCAGAAGGAAGCCTTCCCAGAAATAAGAACAGAGGTTACCAGGTACTTGTGTGTGTGGGGGGATTGGAAGTTGTTATTTAGAAGGGACAAAGTTGCCATTCGGGATGATTTAAAACAAAACAGTGCCCGCTGATGAGATGGCTCAGTGGGTAAATGGCATTTGTCATCAAGCCTAATGACCTGAATAGAGAACCACTCCTATAAGCTGTCCTCTGACCTCCACATGAGTAGACAGACAGACAGACAGACAGACAGACACACACACACACACACACACACATTAAAGGAAACAAATAAAAATAACATAGTATGGCCATTAAGAGGATCAGCCCTTGCCACAAAACCTAACAACCTGTTTGCTCCCCAGCACGACTGTAGACGAGCAGAACTAACACCCACAAGCTGTCCTTTGGCCTTACACATGCAACCCCACAAATACACACATGTGCTTTCATATAATTAAAATAAAAATTTGGGCTTGTCACAGTAGTACACACCTTTAATCCCAGCACTTAGGAAGCAGAAGCAGGCAGATCTCTGTGACCTGGAAGCCAGCCTGGTCTACACAGAGTTCCAGGCCAGCCAGGACTACACACAGAGAGAGACCTGTCTCAAAACCAAGTAAATAAATGAACACAGATATAAAAATTCCCAATAAAATACTTTAAAAACTTCAACTACATTAGGGCGGTCATACCACATACCAAAGCTGGTTTCATCCCATGGATGTAATGATGAGTCAACATACACCATCAGTAAATGAAGTCATACAGTACAAACACAGACTTTAGAGCAGCAATCATACAGGCATTATGCTGGTTAGTTTTAGTCAACTTGGTCAACTTGACACAAGCTACAATCATCTGGGAAGAGGAAACCTAAGTTGAGAAAACTGCTCTATCAAACTGGCCCATAGCACGTCTGTGGGGCATTTTCTCATTAATGACAGATGAGATGTGCCTCCCATGTACAAGAAAGCAAGTTGAGCAACCAGTAAACAGCTTTCCTGCCTTTTCTTCAGCTCTAGTCTCCAGGTTTCTGCCTTGGATTCCTGCCCTGACTTCCCTTCATGACAGACTACAGCTGTAGGCTGAATAGATTCTTCCCTCCCCAGATGGCTATTGCTGGCTGTATTTATCACAGCAATAGAAACCTAACTTAGGACAGGCTCATCTCACCAGAGGCAAAGTCAGCACCTCTTGGTGCTAAAGGATGAAGAAACTGGAAAGAGAAGGGACACAATAAAGGCTACACACAACAAACCTACAACCAACTTACACCAAATAGTGAATATTTAAATAGCTATATTACTGAAAATATACTGATTCAATGCTTTCTTCATCTAAATTCCAACCATCCCTCACAGAACTAGAAAAACAAACAAAACCCAAAACCAACTTTAAAATTCAAATGAAACTACAGAAGATCCCAGCTAGTCAAAGCCATCCCAAGCAGAAGATTGATGCCGGGAACATGACAGTCCTGACCTCAAACTGCCAGAGCCACAGTAACAAAAACAGATGATATTGCACAGAAACAAACAAACCAGGAAAACAGAATAAAGCACCAGGAAAGGAACCCACAAAGGTGTCTAAATGTATACTGAAAAACACAGCTTCTTCAGCCCTGGAGTAGGGGAAACACACTATCAACCGTGCAAGAATGAAGCTGAAGTTGTATCTCTCAACCTGCACCAAAACCAATCCAGAACAGATCCAGGACCTTAGTAGAAAACCTGAAACTCTGCACCTACTAAGGAAGCATGGTCAGGGGCAAGGATGCAAACAACACATAAAATAATACCCAGGAGTGACAAACGGGACCACATGAATTTAAAAAGTTTTCTACATAGCAAAGTAAACCATGACCAGAGTGAAGAGTCTGGTGAATGGGAGACAATCCGCCAACTCTACACCTGACAGGGGATTAATATCCAAAACTTTCAGAGCTCTCCCAAAATACCAAAACTCAAACCTTAACCCAATCACTAAACGTGCAAACTGACTACACAGTCCTCAAGAGAAAGACACGTTACAACAAATACATGTAAAGTGTTCAACATCCTGGGACAGTAAGATAGTTTGGCAAGTAAAGGTACTTTTTGCCAAGTCAGAAGATCTGATTTTGGTCCCTTGAACAAACATGGTAGGGGATAACTTAGGTAATAAATTGTCTTGTGACCTCACCTATACTGTGACATGTGTGCCCCCAACTTTGCCCTCCAAATAAATAAACATAAAAAGAAAAAAAAAGCATACATTATCCTTAGCTATTAGGGAAATGCAAATTAAAACTGTTTTGAGATTCCATTTCACAGTCAGGATGACTATCATCAAGAAAACACATGAAGGGGACTGGAGAGGCAATGCCACGGTTAAGAGCAATGTTCAATTCCCAGCTGCCACATGGCAGCTTAACAACTTTAACTCCAGTCCCAATGCCTTTCCTGGCCCCTGCAGGCACTGCACATACATGGTGCACAGACATACATGCAGGTAAACACTCAGTGTGTATAAAAACAAATACAATCTCAAAAACAAAATTAAAACAAGAAAAGCAAACACATGGTGATAAATGACAGTGAGCATGTGGAGGAATCCCTTTGGTCTCATGTTGCAGGAGTGAAAAGAGATTTGGCAACTATAAAAATTCAGTTTGGAAGTTCCTTAATAAATAAATAAAATTAAAAATATAAATACATAGCTCGGCAGTGGTGGTACATTTCTTTAATCCCAGCACTCGGAAGGCATAGGCAGGCAGAGCTCTGTGAGTGCTGTAGGAAGTATTACAGCTTATATTTACCCGCCTACTGGGGTGTGGCCTCTTATACTATTTACACGTGTGGCCAGCTGAACCTGCGTGTGGCCCTTCTGTCGTTCCCCTTGCTTGGCTGCTCTTTTGGATCACGTGATTCAACCGGTCAAGCAGAGGATTCTGATGTGAGTTTACCCCTGAATGACTATCTATCTCTCGATTCTGAGCTAGTGTGGGATTTCTTTTAAGTGTCCGACCACCATAGAAATGTCAAGGTGAAAGGCATTTTTAGATGCTAACAAAAATAAATAAAAATTTAAATATTTACAGAAAATTCTTTTTTTTTTCTCCATTAGGGGAAAAAATTAGAACTAGGTAGTAGTTGCTGGGTACTGTGACGAAATGTCACTTCACTGTTCCTCTTCACACTCATGGATAATGGAAGGTGGCGTACACAGAGAAACACTTCTGTATTAAAGCTATGTTAGAACAAGAGGATTCCACTGCCTATAAGATGAATACTTTTCAAAGACCTCCAACTACAAACTATTTAAGAACAAGGATAAGGTACCGTATCCTTTACCCACCCTCACAGTATACAATCAATAACTCGAAGTAGTGAGGAGTACATGCCATTAAGCAAAGCCGATCAAAAAGAGTTTGTTCCAATCCATTTTCATGAGCTGCATCAGAACCCTGAATTGTAGGAGGCAGCTGTTTGGAGTCTCCAACAAGAATTAACTTTTCACACTCAAACCTAAAAAGGAACAATTTAGAAAATTAATCTAAGCAAAGAGAAAAGGTATACTAACATCAGTCATTGCTCTTTCTGAAATGTGTTCTTAGAATTCAAATGTAGAAAGTGCTCTAAGAGCTAGCAAGGTTCAACGGTGCTAGCCGGCATATTAAAGGTTTTGAAATGTTACCTCACAGAATCTCGGGTTAGGCAGAGTAGAAAAGTGCTTTAAGACCTTTGATCTCTGGCATTTCATATAAAAGCTAGACAGCAGCAGTGTATAAATCCACTGGGGGCTGAGAGACAGGAGGATCTGGGGACTCACTGCCAGACCAGCTGAAAAGGTGAGCCGTGGCTTCAGTGAGACGGCTGGAAAGATGGCTCAGGGAGTAGGAGCACTTGTTCTTGCAGAGGACAAGGCTAGATTCCTAGCACCCACAGGGCAGCAACTGTCCACCAACTCCAGGTCACACATGTACACAGACATATGAGCAAAACACTCATACACATAAAATAGAGTAAAAAAATAAAATGTTAAAATTAAAAAAGGAAAAGAATGTAAAGAACTACAAAGGAATACATTAGATGTCTACTCTGGCCTCACATGTATACACATCTTTCTGATACACATGGGTGAACACTGATACACACCCATGTGGACAAACACACTTTCACTTAACATACATTTTTTTCACATAAAATATATTAGGTGTCCCTTGCTTCTACATAGAGTTAGTGTTTCACAGAACACATGAGAAACAGTGATCTTAAGACGCCAGAACTCTAAAGCTGTCATCGAATTCTTTGGCATCAACTATTTTAGAAGTGAGATAAATAAGGCCTGTAGGACAAAATGTCTAAGTAAGAGCAAGACAGTGTGGGAAAGTCCTAGGTTCACAGACAAACCTGTATCCAAATCTCAACCCTATCTTTCATATCTGTGGCTCTCCTTGCTTCACGTTCTTATCTCCTGGAAGGAGAAACTCTTCACGTGGCTGTTTAAAGGACCAAATGAAGACCACAATGTACTTAGAATACAGCAGAACTGTGTTACTACTCTGTGCTCCACCCAGGGCCTCAGTGACCCTCCACCTGGTTGCTGGAGAGTGCCCAAATCAGCCTGATTGCCCAGTGCCATTTCAGTGAAAAGCTAAATGCCCGGGAGTCTCCCGAGTCCCAGGCAAGCCCTAACAGCTGGTGTCCTACCGACTGATCAACTGGGGGCTGAGCAAGGTCTCCAGGTCCTACAGTGGTGGACTCTTCCTTGGAAGGTGCCTTATTTTTATTCTCCATGGTACTGGGATTAAACCCAGGAATCATATTAACCATGTTTAGATTTCACACTCCTAAATTTCTGGAGATGGGGGTGGAGCAAAGGCAAGTGGTTAAGAGCACTGGCTGCTCTTCTAGAGGTCCTGAGTTCAATTCCCAGCAGCCACATGGTGGCTCACAACTATCTCTACCAAGACCTGGTGTCTCTTCTGGTGTGCAGGCATACATGTAGGCAGAACACTGTACACATAATAATAAACATTTTTAAAAAATTCTGGGGAAAAAATTTTCATTTTCAATGTGCTTTTCTATATATTCTTTTATAAGCTTAAAAAATACTTTCAAAAGCTAAACCATCAAATCATACAAGAGAAAGGAAATCAGAGGACACTGCCCAGTAGAGTTAGGAACCACTAGTCTAGCTAACAAACTGAGAAGTCCTACAATGGTCCTAGCACTAATCCTCCTATGGCTTTAAGGACTGTGTGATTCCAATGGCTAAACTATAAGTCTACAAAATTTAAATATATCTACTTCAAAAAGTTTCTCTCTATTATTTACAAAACTAATGTTAGTAACTGAATTGCTAAGAATTCTGACAAGTGTCTGTTGGGGACTGAACTCAGGAAAGGTCTGAAATAACTGACTTGTGTGTATTTTGGGAAGAGTCTTTTGGTTACCTTGCAATAGGAAGGAGTGAGGCTGGTTCTGTCATCTGGCTGCACTCATCCAGCACAACCACAGGGAATTTAAGGTCATTCATGCATGGGAATGGGCAGGCTGCACAGGTAATGCCAACAACTCGAACCTTTATTTAAAAAAAGAAAAAAATGTGCTTTTGAGACAAAGACTAGATAGCCCAGGCTAGCTTACAATGCACTATGTAGCCCATGCTTAGCCTCAAAACCTACCTCAGCCTCTCTCCAAAGTGTTGAGATTATGGTTGTGAGTCACCATGCCCAGACAAACAAAAAAATATCACTAACCAATGGCTTTTAAAAGTAAATCAAGAATTTACTGGAGAACTTGAAGGTTAAGCCAGACCTATGATTAACCAAACCTATGATTCCTGCTCATAAGAAATCAGTTGTCATTTTATTGCTACATTTTCATTACTCTCACATACAAAGTAGGTGTTACAGAAAACAAGCTACTTTATAAGGTCATTAGCAAGAACACATTCACTCTGATATTAAACATAAGAAACATATTAAATGGTTCAGGAAACTTCAAGAATGACATGTTTTCCTTTATCTTCCAGGTATGCCTGAATTAATAGAACACATATTTTATTAACACTGGTCCATGTTTTCCACAAAGAACACAGAATATGTTAACAAAACCAGCCTTTGCTTAACTTCTGAATGCTATAGCAGCTGACCAAGACAAGGTCTTGGATAGCTGGTTTCCCAAAATCTCTTTGGAGAAATTGATCAACATCCACATGATCCAAGAGAGCCAATGACTTTCCTTTTTCTTTACCCATTGTCCTGTTCCTCAGGTACAACTTTCATAAGATGAAGCCACTGAATCTTTCTATTCTACCGATAAAAGCCCTTCACCAAGGAAATAATACTTATTACAGCCCAGGCACCTAGCACCCAAAGCCTGGGAGCAAGTAGACTGCTACTTGGATTCTTGGGCACAGACAGATCCTCAGGCACCTGGCTTTCTAGGAGTACATCAAAGACAAATCTGCACTTTGATATCTCACGCAGCGTAAAAACTTTTTTTCTTTCTCCCAGGATACAATTTTTACTGGGTTCACCGAGAACCTATTCAAAGCTTCCAATTTTTGTCTTCAGGCTTCTATGTAAAGGAAAAATAAAGAATGCTGCAGGCATGGTAAACTTGAAGAATGTTTGCAGCAATCAAAAGATGCAGTAGGTAAGGTGTGTAAGGACACAGAAGGCACACACCTTGTTGAATCTAAGATCATCCATCCCACAACTAAAGAGAATCAATCTGAGCACAACAGACAAATCAAGAAAGGAACTGATGCAGTTTCACCTCACCTGCTTCAGCAGAGTTCTATTGGTCCCCAGTTTATGCTGCTCGATACTTTTTCTCACATAAACCCTTTCTATAGCAGTCAGTTCTTCCTTCATCAATGCATGGAGTTCTTTCAATTGTTCATTTTCATTTTCTGCACCAGCATGCAAGCTGAAATTGAATAACATGAAAGAATATTCCTTGTTTATTTCATTTCCTTTTTTTAAAAGAGAGATTATTTATTTATTATGCACACAGTATTCTGCTTGCATACATGCCTGCAGGACAGAAGAGGTCATGAGATCTCATTATGGATGGTTGTGAACCACCATGTGATTGCTCGCAATTGAACTCAGGACCTTTGGAAGAGCAGCCACAGTTCTTAACCTCTGAGCCATCTCCCCAGTCCCTATTTCATTTCTCATCATATACTCTTATACACCACAAGGAATAAAGTGGATTAGATTTTTTATGTTTGTTTACTTGTTTTTGCTTTTCTGAGACAAGATCTCACTGTCTAGTCCTAGCTGTCCCAGGATTAGCTATGGAGATGATATTGACTTCGAACTCACAGAGAACCGCCTGTTTCTGCCTCCCAAGACCCAGAATTAAAGGCATGCATCACGACATCTACGTTGGCTTACTCTTTCTAGTTAGAATTTCTACTTAGGTTTCCTAATCTAACTAAAGCTATCTCTTTCTCAAAGGCCAAATTTCAGGTTGAAGAAAAACATTTTCATATTTCCTTTTTTAAACTTTCTTCATATTTATTCTTTGTGACTTTCACATCATGCCTCCCAATCCCACCCATCTCTCTCCCCCAACACCCCAAAAATAAAATCAAAATAAAATTTAAGAGAAAAAGGAGGGGGAAAAAGGAAGAAGGGGAAAGGGAAATCTCATGGACGCTGCAGTGTGACACAGTGAATCACGCAGTAAACCCCCTCATGCATACATTTTTTACATGAAGGTGTTCATTGCAAAGAATCATTGGTCTGTTTCGAGGCTCCTGGGCTTTCTTGCACCATCAATGGTGAGCCCTCACTGGGACTCTTCCTGGACATCCCACTGCTGCCCTGTGCTTTGGAGATCCTGGAGCCCTAGGTCTATCCACCACCCAGCCTCCAATGCTCCAGCAGATCACAGATGGGATGGATGTAGGGGTGGACCCATTTTCATACTTCTTAGAATATTCTGTAACTTTTAGGATTTAGCAGTCTCACCTGTACGGTAAGATTGGCTTGGCAATCTTCCTAACACTCCCAACTCTGATGAACTTTTCAAATCCAAGACTGAGAAGCCTTAAAGAAAATAAGACAAAAATAATTCTCCTTACTTACAAAACATTGTGTAAAACAGTTTCATGTGGGTTTTTCATATATATATATATATATGTTTGTGTGTGTGTATAAAATTTATTTTTTATTTTGTATCCACTAGTGTTTTGCCTGAATGTATATCTTTATGAGGGTGTTGGATTCTAGAGTTACAGACAGTTGTGAGCTACCATGTGGGTGCTGGGAATTGAACCTGGATCCTTTGGAATCAGTGCTCTTAACTGCTAAGCCATCTCTCCAACCCTTAGAACTTTTCTTTAAAGACAGTGTACCAGTATATAGCCCAGGCTATCCTTAAACTCTCAATGCTCAGCCTCCTGAGTGCTGGACATACAGATGTGCACAAACATGTTCAAGTATATTATTATTATTTCATAGGACTGTGTTCTAAGAGCTATAGATTCAATATGAAATATCTAAACTCAAATAAAGTAAAGCAATGTGGTTGAAAGATCTCTCACAGAACATATTTAACTCAGGCAGTTGGAGGTTAAGTCTTTCATTACAACTGCAGAACTTAAGTCCCACCCTAACTGTGGGTGGCACCCCCTCCTTGGTCCCACATTAATTAAAAAGGAGAAAGGAGGCAAAGCCCCAGCCTCTGCCCCCTCACACTTTGTTTCCAGTGTATGGGTGCATATGCCCAACTGCCCGATGCTTCTGCAGCCATGATTTCCCCACCAGGAGGCCCTGCACCTTGGAACTGTGGACATGATAAGCCTTTTCCTCCCTAAATCATTTTGTCAGCATATGAAGAAAAGTAACTAATAGGTCTCTGTTTAGAGAAAAGTTAGGTACTTCTCAATCCAAAATAGTCAGTGGTCATTTTTCAATACAAGTTTGTATTCAATCTGTAATAATGAGGGGCAGTATTCTCAGAGTGATGCTACTATAGGGTAATGTGTACTACATATTTATGCTTTCATTTTTCCTAAAACACAAACGAAAAACAAAATCCCTTTGTCTTATTATGTCTATCACACTAGACAATGTCTGTTCCAATGCAGAAGAATGCCATTTCACTGTGAAGAAATAGAGGAACCCAGCCGATGTGCAATTGAGACACGTAAGATTCACAGGTTCACATTTCTCAGGTCCTTTTCAGAGATTCAAGTATTAAATAGTCTTCTAAAATGGCTGTGAGTGTGGTTCAGTGGAAGAACACTCACTCCGCATGCACAAAGCCTCCGGTTCTGTCCCTAGCACTGTACATATGCACACACACGCACACACACACAAAGGGAGAGGGAGTGAGACAGAGAGTGCACAGACTTCCTGTATTTTTAGATCAGATGTTTACCTGCCCTTTTCATTCTAATCTCTCAATACATGTTTTCTAACAGTCTCATGTAAATTTTCATTTCAGGCTAAGCAATCTAAGTTTGTTCTTTCCATTGAAGTGCTAGGAAATTCCTCATTATCTTAGATTTAAAAAAAAAAAGCTATCCTTAGTCACTCTTAGATTTCTCATGAGAGTGCACAATAGCAAAACTTTCCCGGTGGGCAATTTTATAAAATATATCAAGAAGCTTAGGATACGTCTAATTTTTACCCTAGCTTAGGTCGCTTTCCTTAGCTTACAAGTTGGCTTGGTGGGTAAAAGCGCTTGTTGCATAAGTCACACAGGCTACATTTGATCCACAGAACCTGTGGTGTGAAGAGAGAACCCACTTCTGAAAATTGTTCCCACACCTCCGTGCACGCGCTGTGGCACAGGTGTGCCTGTAGTCTGTCAGTCTGACTGTTGTCTGTCTCTCTGTCACACGTAGTTTTTTTAAAGTTATTTTAAAAACAAGAAATAGAGATAGCTATAAAGACTTATGTCCAAGATTTTTGTCACAATATAATTTATATTGGTAAAATTTTGAAATTTACTGATTAAAAATTACTTGAATAATGGCATAAGCAAATCAATAAATATAATTATGAAAAGTTATTGGGCATTGTATCACATAGCTTGAAACCAAGCACTCAAAAGACAGAGGTAGATGAATCTCTAAGTTTCAAGACAGCCAGGAAGTAAGCTCCAGTACACGTGTATGTGCACATGCATGTGTGTTGTACATGTTAGGCCCCTGCTTCACTACTGAGCTACATCCCCAGTCTAAAATAATCTTTAAACGTAAAATCTTGTCTCCACATGTATGTATGCTGTGGTACACACACACACACACACACACACACACACACACACAGATAAAGAGAGAGAGAGGGAGAGAGAGAGATATATATATTTAACAAAAAGACTAGCTATATGAGTCATGGATTTTTAAAATAAAAGCCGTTATTTATTCTGATATTCAGATAAATACTAAATTACTGGTAAATATTCAGCATTTCCTTGGTATTTAAAAACTGTATTTATTTATTGTCTGAGTATGTGTGCATGCTCATGCTAATTTGGGCACACATGCCTACGTTCATCAGGCTTGGCAGCAAATGCCTTTACCTGTTGGCCCATCTCACCAGTCCTTCTTTGTAATTAACAAACAAACAAACAAACAAAAAAGTAAGAGCACTTGCTATGCAAGCGTGAGTCCTGAGCTCAAATCCCTAACACACCACATTAGAAACCAAAAACCTGACACGGTCACGCAATCACCTTAACCTCGCACTGTGAGAGACAGAGGCTAGATCCAGGCTCAGAAAGAGACCCTGTCTCCAAGTAATAAGGCAGAGTGATAAAGTAGGATATGGCATTCTCCTCTGAGCTCTATACATATAAAGGTGTGCACTTGTACCACCGAGAGTAAATTAAAAATTCTTGTGTATTTACTATTATTGTTATTGCCTTCTTTGTATCCCTCTTATGAAAACAATGCTATAACTTACATTGTTCAGCTATATTAATGTGTTTATACAGGTTCATGAGTTCAGGGCTATAACTGTTGGTTTGGGGATTGGATTTTAACTTACATCTATAATAATAAACCCAACCCTCTGAGTCAGAGGCAAAGGATTTTTACTTATGACAAGAAATAGCATAAGCACCATGGTGTGTGCGAGTCCTTTGGTCCCCACCACCCACCAGGAGATGTAGAGCATCGTGGCAGATGACTGCACATGCAATGGGTTCAACAGTACAGCTAAGGAGCACTGAGGTTGGATATCCACCACTCTTAGTAACAAGCAATGAGCAGTCCTCCCTTTAATTTCAGAGGGTGATATTACCTCATCAGTCCAACTTGCAACCCTGAGAAATGCCTTTCAAAGGAATGCTCAAGGCTTACACCAGACGGCCTCCCCCAACAACACACTTTCAGCCCTACATGCTCTTGGCTGAACTTGCATTTTAGAGGGTTATTCTAAACTGTTTATGACAAACTGTCAGATAAATGAACAATTACTACTTAAGAAACTAGATTGTTACTACTTCATAGCCCTTGGGTCAGAAGCAATGGCCTTGCATTCTTGTCAGACAGCAAGAATATATATGGACATTGGGAATAATCTAAAATATCAGCTATTTAAGTCCGCCTGTCATACTTACCCAAGAAGCACTCTATCAACAGCAACATTAGTGGAAGAAGAAATGAGAAGCTTCCAAGGCCTTGCATTTCCAACTGTTTCAGCATTACACTTTTCAAACAGTTGTACAAAGAACAAAATCACCACAGCCAGCAAATAGCTTTTGCCTGCTCCAAAAACACCTAAAATATCACAAAAACTTCTATGAATGTACAAGCAATATTTTCTCTATCTTGCCCTCCTTCATTTAATTAATTTATTCAAAAACGATGTCCACTTGTGCTCGCAAGAGGATAAACAGATAAACATTATCATCTTCAGTAAGGCTACAGTCAACAGGATAAATAGGTAAAGACATGATATGGTAATAGGGTAACATTGCTATGGAACCAGAGAAGGAAGACGATCTTTGGTGGTGATGGGAAGACGTCCTTTAAAAAAAGAAGTCGCAGAACTAAGTCTCCCAGAATCCCACACCAACGGTCTACAAAATGTCAGCTAAGCATGTTAAAAGTATTCTTAGAAATTTCTAGGTATATAGCAAGCAGGCAAGAATGGAGGTTTGGGTAGGCAAAGTGATATACCACAGAGGATAAATCAAACTTGGGAGGCACAGGCAGGTGGATCTCTGTGAGTTCCAGGCCAGTCAGGCTATGTCAAACAAAGATAAATCATAAGTCTACTATGGCTAAAATTTTTGAAATTTCTCTGGAAGCTGGTAGGTAGACACTGAAGGATTTTAAACAACAGGACTGACTTGTAAGAGTGTGTGTCTTAGAAACTATGTGGAAGCTGAGCAGTGGTGGCACATACCCTTAATTCTAGCACTTGGGAGGCTGACACAGGCAGTTTGAGACCAGTCTGGCCTACAAAGTGAGTTAGTTCCAGGATTGTTAGGGCTATTACCCAGAGAAACACTGTCTCAGAAAAGCATTTGAGAGAGAGAGAGAGAGAGAGAGAGAGAGAGAGAGAGAGAGAGAGAGAGAGAAGGGGGGGGGGGGGGGGGGGGGGGGGGGGGGAGGGAGGGAGGGAGGGAGGGAGGGAGGGAGGGAGGGAGGGAGGGAGGGAGGCAGGCAGGCAGACTACATGGGTCAAATGTGAAAAGGTGAAAGAAACTACAATGGAGCATCAGCATAATGAATGCTAACTGTACTGAGGGACCCACATGCTGTGCACTCCTCTAAGCATTCTACTTACATTTAATCATTTAAGCATCCAACCATATGAGGTATATGCTATTTTTAATCCACATTTCCAGGAAATCAAAGCTAAGAAGTAAGTCTCCTACTCAAAATCATACAGTCAATAAATAGTGATGGAGCCAGGATATGAAAGCAGTGTTCTAATTTAAGATTCCACATTCTTATCCACTAGAAAACTACAAAAGAGCAGGATAACCTATAAATGTCTACATTTACTATGACTATCTATTTCTTACCATGAATGATTGTGATAGGCAGGGGAGGGGTGCAGGGCTCCAGTGCGTCTTCACCACTTTCTTGAGAGGCCATCATTTGAGCTATCTGAATTAGTGCTGTAGCTTGATCCTTGTTCAGCCTGTGTATATGAATCAACTCACTAGCTAACTGCAGGGTGGCTCCCAGGTTCAGGAGTTCAAATTTTGTTTTAATATTTGCAACAGCTGGTGGGATAAATTTTCTTTTACTGACATTTTTATTGCTAACTGTAGCTGGCCGAGACCTAGTAAAAAGAGAGTACATCAGAAACATGACTTTTGAAACGTGTGACTGGACTCATTCATAACTTAGCTTTCATTTTACAGCTGTCAGAGAATTTCTGGAGGATAGGCTTCAATTTGGAGGGTGCAAGAGAACTAATATTTATGAAATACATACTATATTCTGGCATGAACTTAAGTAGTTTACTCATTAATTTATATACTCTTCACACCAAAAAAATAATGACCCCAAGTAAAGATATTCAAATATTGAATTAATAATCTAATTAATAGACTGGTTTAAATAATTAACATAGCTTCTACTTCAGGCAAAATTACAATAGACAAATAATTTTATTGTTATGTATAAGATATAAAAATGAAGTTACGGTTTGGAGAAATGGTTCTGTGGTTAAGAGCATTGGCTGCTCTTCCAGAGGATCTGGGTTCAATTCCCAGCATCCACATGGCAGTTCACAACTGTCCAATTTTAGGGGATCTAACACCCATGACAAAATACCAATGCAAATAAAATAAAACTAAATTAAAAATGTATAAAAAATTAAAATATAAAAGTGAAGCTATAAGGCTTTAAAAGCAAAACAAAACAAAACCTAGGGTATTATGACAAAGAAAAGGGTAATAATGCTGCAAGATAATAACAATCCAAACTGGAAGACAGTGGTAAAGCACTTGTATGGGGATGGATGCCTAGTGCAAGAAAACATTCTTTTCTCATTTTAATGCATTCACTTTCCAGTTGTTATAATTAAGTTATACATTCTTTGATTTATTAAAACAAGGTGTCATGTATCCCAGATTGACCTGAAACTCTCAATGTTGTTAAAGATGGACTAGAATTTATGATTTTCTCATCTCCACCTCTGAAATGGCAAGAGTACAATATATTACCACAGCTGCTTTATGTGGTAATAAATATGACACCTAAGGTCTCAAGGATATGCCAAAATGAGCTGTAGCTGAGCCCCATTTCTGATTTTTTTTAAAAAAAGTTTTGATATTAGAGAAATTAAAATGTGAGATACAGGTAATTAGAACAAAAATAGTATCAACATCAACACTATCAGATCGTTCTTTTGGATGCTAAGCAATATATAACATAAAGATACAGAAAGGCTGGAGAGAGGCTCAGGGGTGAAGAGCACTGGCTGTTCTTCCAGGGAACCCAGGTTCCACTCCCAGCATCCACATAGCAGTACACAACTGGCTGTGTATCTAGTCCTAGGACATCCAATAGCCTTTCTGACCCTCAGACCAGGGACACACATGGTGTACACACATGCATGTATGTAGGCAAAACACCAGATACACCATACACAGTAAAAACCATATAGATGAATAAAATTATGCACTATAACGATCCTTTAAAAAGTTGTCCCCAAGATAAAGAGAAATAAATTTCAATATGAGCCCAAACCACAATAAATAAACAGATGGAAGGGAAGTAATACATACTTTTTTTCCTTTCCTCTTACAAATTTTATTTATTTATTTTTGGTGCTAGGGATCAAAGCTAGAGCTTCCCACATGCTGACAGCATTCTACCACTGAGCCACATCTGTTTTATGCTTAACTTCTAATACATGATAATCTCCTAATCTAAAAGATAATTAAAATTTTGTTGGTGAAATATATTTAATGTTGTTATTGCACTTTCAGTTACCATCTAGGCTGATTAATTTTTTTTGTCAACTTGATACAAGCTCATGTCACCTGGGATGAGGGAACCTCAGTCAAGAAAACAACTCCATCATATTGGCCCATGGGAAAACCTGTGGGGCATTTTCTTGATTAATGATTGATGAAGAAGGGTTCAGCCCACTGTAGGTTATGCTACCCTATCTGAGTAGAAAAAAAAAAAAAAGCAGATTCAGTAAGCCAGTAAGCTATGTTCCTCCACGGTCTCTGCTTCAGTTCCTGCCTCCAGGTTTCTGCACTGAGTTCCTGCCCTGTATTCCCTTCATGACAAACTATACGCTGGGAGATAAAATTAAGCCTTTCCTCCCAAGCTGCTTCTGATGATAGTGTTTATCACAGCAAAAGAAAACAACAGAAAGCAAACTAGGACACCATAATTTAAAACCAATGGTCAAGGATAAAAAATGACTTACATTGCTAACAGGTATGGCATTACTGGAAGAGTCGCTGGGTTAAAGTAGTCCTGAATGTTCTGCAGTGTCGTCAGCTCTGTGCTGGCATTACAAACCAATAATGCATGGACTGTTACTACAGAGACAACGTAGAAAATGAATATTAGGTGTAAATAAAACCAACACAAACTGATGAAATGTCCTTACAACTCAGAGGTTAGCTTCTGAACTAGTCAGAAGACAGAAAATGAAATTTTCAGGCCATGCAGAGATGTTTAAATGTCTATCCTTTACATTCTATGCTCTCCAGTCATTTATTTTGAGTGTGAGCACTCATAAACTGCGTAACTGAAATCACACTTGCAACAATCAACAGTGTTGGTTGTATTTAGGCATCTGTACTGACCTGCTCTTGGGCTGCAGTCACTAAGAGCACCTTCTGTGCACACTCTTATGTTCCCTTTTAAAAGGTAGGCCTCGCCCACCTCCAATCTCTCTCTTTCTCTGTTCCTTTCTCTCTCTGCTTCTCTGTCTCCTCCCACCCCCATCTCTCTGCCTCTCTCTTCACTCTGTGCTTCTGTCCTCAGAAGCCGGTCCCTTTCCCCTAATAAAAGCTCCTCCATGTGAGTCCTGTTGCATGGCGTCTTTCTCTCCCGTGCTGCTTTCTAAGTTTCAACACACAGGAAATGAGAATCAACAGCAGCAGTTCTTCTCAGCACAGCGCTTGTGCTGCAGAGATGTGCTTACGAAGTTCTCAAACTTTCGAGTATTTCTTCTTCAATCACTTATTAAAACATATAAAACTAGAATGTAAACATTGCTAAGAAAGCATCTGCAACAAACAAAATTGTCCACATGAAAAGTGATGGTTAATTGGGCCCTTGTTAGAGTCATACTGGTTGACTATGTTTAGCCAGTTAAAAACGAATAGATCAGTTGAGTATAAAAAAGCATACCTATAATCCCAACACACCTTTATCCCATAAGCAGGTCAATCACTGAGTTTGAGACCAGCCAGTTCTCATTAAATAAGAAAGAAAAAAAAAGGGGGAAAAAGAGCAAGTCATGCAAGGCTATCATCCTAACACTCCAGAGGCAGGATTTCTATGAGTTCATGGCTAGCCTGGACTCCACAGTAAAATCTTGTCTCAACCAAAAAGAAGGGGGTGGGAGGGTAGTTGGAGATCTAAGCTTAAAAAAGATGAACTACTAGAAATCTGGGATCATTAAACGCTGTGTCGTTAGTTCACTATGGACTAAATTCAAGCATCAGAAATAGAGACTGAAATGTATAGTGTGGTCTCCAGAAACCTCCATATTCATAGAAATAGATGGAAATAAATTTATTAAAGTCTCTTCTGCTACGAGACTCTCAGGACCCTAAATCAGTGAAATTTGTAATTTTCTATCTGAGACAAATATTATGTAGCCCAGGCCTAAAACTTTCCTTGCTAAAAGAAAAATAAGGTGGGTAGTCTGACTTCATAAAGACTTCTCAAGAGGGACTGGAGGGATGACTCAGCTGTTGAGTATCTGTTTCTCTTCCGGATGGCCAGGGTTGGAGTACCGTCACCCACATGGCAGCTCACAACCATCTGTAATCCCAGGCCCAGGGGTCCCGATGCCATGTTCTGGCTGCTGTGTACACCAGACATACATGTATGGCACAGAAATACATGCAAGCAAAACACTTAGACATATAAAAATAAATTCTATAAAGAGAATTTCTCAAAATGGCTTAGATAATCAAGATAAAAATCATTCGACTGAATCTCAAATTTCTAAAACCACAGTGTAAAGATACATTATTTACTAAATATACCTTCAAAGTCCAAGAAAATTAGAACTCATCTAAATAAAATTATGTGAAAAAGGACTCATGTCCGAAGTTTACATTTTTAAAAACATCAGGTATATAGAAAATTTAATCCTAACCAAATATTAAATGTTAGTTCAAGATTTCTTTTTTTATGTGTAAAAGTGGTTTTTTTTCTGCATACATGTATATGTATACTACATGTGTGCCCAATGCCTTAATAGGTCAGAAGAGGGTACTAGATCTTCATTACAGATGATTATTACCCACTGCGTAGTTGCTGGGAATAAACCTGGGTCCTCTGCAAGAGCAATAATTGCCTTAACCACTGTTCTATCTCTCAAGCCCCTCAAGATTTCATTATACTGTTAGTTCTATGGGACTTGAACTGTAGAAATATTTGCAAAGCTGGGTGGTGGTGGCGTACATCTTTAATCCCAGCACTCGGGAGGCAGAGGCAGGCAGATCTCTGTGAGTTAGAGGCCAGCCTGGTCTACAAGAGCTAGTTCCAGGATAGGCAGCAAAGCTACAGAGAAACCATGTCAAAAAAAAAAAAAAAAACCCCACAAAAAACAAAAAAGAAATATTTACAAATTCAACTTTCATACATGTGTTAGTTTTATTTCAACCTGACACAAACCAGGAAGAGGTAACCTCAAATGAGAAATACTAATACTTCCATTGGACTAGTCTGTAGGCAAGCCTGTGGGGCATTTTCTGAATTTACGACAGAGCGGCCCAGCCTACTGTAGGCAGTGCTACTTCTGGGTAGGTGACCCTGGGCTGTGTAACAAAGCAGGCTGAACAAGCCGCTGAGAACAAGCCAGAAAGCAGTGCTCCTCTGTGATTTCTACTTTAGTTCCTGCCTTGAGCAGCTGCCATGGCTTGATGACCGGCCATAACTAGTAAGCCAAAATAGACCCTTCCTTCCCCCAAGTGGCTTTTGGTCAGTATTCTGACACAACAGAGAAACAATACATATTTTAGGATCATACCGCATACAACCTGTTGTTCTGTTTAAATAGAAATTAGGTGGACATAATGATACTTACTGTTCGTGGGCCAGTTAGAAGGGAAATAGCCTTTCAAAGGCAGCAGCTCCACTTCATTGACAGAAGATGGCCCATAGAAGGCACTGCATGCAATGAAGGTATCTAGTTGGAAGTCTAGGGTTTTTGAAATCACCCAAAGATCACCTGAAAGGTCAAACATTTTCAAATTCCTGCTTTACTGAGGTAAGCTTGACCAAAACAAATAAACAAACAAAACTTTAGCTCATTAGTATTTCAGCATGGCACTTTGTGGGTGGTAGTAGGGATTGAACTTAGTGCTTTGTGTATGTTATGTAGCCATTCTATCCCTGCACTACAAGTCTAGTACAACACATATGATATGTCTTCTGTGGTTTCCACAAGCAAACTAATTAACATATCTATCACCTGACATGGTTACTTCTGTGTGCCTGCTAAGAACCCTTAAGATCTCCACCTTTTGCAGACTTCAAGTAAACGATACATTATGATTGGCCGATGCTGGAAATTAGATCACTAAAACTCACAACAGAATACATATATACTCAGACAGGTACTTGCATGTACATAAAATAAAAATACATCTTAAAAATTATGTGTTTCTATTGTTTGTAAAAAAAAAAATAAAACAAAAATTTAAAGAACAATTTGCTAGGCCTAGAGGGATGGCTCAGCCGTTAAAGGCTAGGCTCAAACCAAAAATATAAGAACAATTTGCTGATATTTCGATCAATGAAGACAAAAGATAATTCACAAAACTAACAAAATAACAAATCTCAGGCAAAACTAATCAAGAAAACAAAATATACAATCCACGTAAGTTTCAGAAAATATAAAGTATTAATACATTGAACCAATGACTTCTACAGAGGTTTGCCCAGCCCTCAGGGGATGAGGAAAGAGGTAGTGAGAGCCTGATCCCCACAAACATGAAAGTTTTCAAAAGTTTATTTATTGAGTCGAGAGATAATAAAACAAGATGTCATTCTCTAAGGCTGGCAAGGCAGCTGAGCAGATAAAGCACCTGGAACCCACATGGTGAAAAGGAGAAAACTAACTCACTCAGCTATCCTGATTTCCACATACATACTGGGATGGGTCTGAATGTAATCTAGAGATTCAACTTGCATCAGAATTCCAGCAGGCTTTTGTTCATAAAACTTCACCAGATGCCTTTAAATACATATGAAATTGCTAAGTGCCAAGAGCAGTTTCTGGAAGTGAGGGGAACTCTGTATAGTCTGACTATTAGGACTTAAGCTACAGCAATTTAAGCACTGCGGGATTGGGACAAAGATATATATCTCATAGAAGCCCAGCATGGTAGTTCCTGCCATTAATCCCAGTCAGCGCTCAGGTGGCTGGGGCAGGAGAAACTGTGAATTTAAGGCAGAAAGACACTGTCTCAATGAACCAAAAATTAAGAAAGGAAAGAGATGTGGCTCAGTGATAAATTCCCTTCCTAACATATGCCAGGCCTTGGGTTTGATTTCTCCCACTTACAGTATAAAAGAAGTCTAGAAAAGGCTTGAAATAAAAAGACTTGGTACATGAGAAGATATTCACAATATACCTGACCAACAAAGGAATAACATGAACATATAAAAATCTTTTATAAAAAGGATTGCTAAAAATTCAATAGTAAAGTAGATGAGAAACACATACAGCTAGTAAACACATAAAGAACATTTTGAAGTCACTGAAGAGAATAGTGCAAACCAAACTACAGGTTCACTGTACACCCACTTGAGTAGGTTGACCCACAGCTTCTCTTGTACTAAGACTACACTTGGCAAAAACTACTACGGAAATCAGTTTGGAATTCTAAGATAAAGATGGATGTTACATTCTCATAATCTGTAATACAATATTTTCCTTTCAAGGATTGTATCCCCAAAAGTCTTTGTATATCTACAAAAAAGTGTAAGAGTCCAATACCAGGCTATAGGAGGACTGGGGTAAGAATAGGTCATGGACGCTGAGAGGTGGGGTGCACAAAGTGAGTTTCAGGTCAGTTACACAGAGAGACCCTGTCTTAGAAAAACAATAGGTCTGGCACAGAGTTAAATTACTTTATCATTTATATGGTATCAAAAATTTAGTGCAATTTTTCAATAAAGTGGATTCTGGAATAAAATTTTTTAAAACTCTTAAAATTTTTTTGTTTTTAGTTTTTGGAGGCAGAGTTACTCTGTGTGGCCCTGGCTGTTTTGGAACTTGCTCTGTAGACCATGGTGGCCTCTACTCACTCTGTCTCTTGAGTGCTGGGATTAAAAACTCTAAAAATTCTGAGTATACTTTTTAGAAATGATCTACAACACCACAATTTTCACTATATGGCATTGTTAAATTATACTTTAAAAATTCTCTTTACTATAAAGGATTTGCAGAGCTATGGAACTCAATCATGAACACGGTCAGGTCCACCTACCTTTATTATAAACTGAAGAGCTCTCCTTCCGACTCAGTTTAAGATAAATCCTACTTTTTGTTTCACTGCAAAATTCAGGGTTCACAGTTGCAAACGTCTTTAGTTTACCGTACTGTTTCCTCTGAAAATCAAATCCTTTCCTGAAAAAAAAAACAAAAGATTCAAATGAATTTGAGTGGCTAACAGACTGCTCAGGTTAAGAATAACTCCCTAGTCTCTCAGGAACCTTTGGTTCCCACATCCATATCTGCCAGCTCACAAACACTTGTAACTCCAGCTCCAATAAATCCAATAACCTCTATGCTTCACAAGTACCCACAAACATATGCACATACATATAGACACAATATGAATAAATAAAAATCTTTAAAAAGGAATTATTTTAATTTTTAACACAGAACATAACAGTAAGAACCAAACTTTGTGTGTTCATTTACTTTCAGAGACGTTGCAAAATATAAATATTATAAATATATAAATATTATAAATAGATATATAAATATATCTATTAGCTGGGTGGTGGTGGCACATGCCTTTAATCCCAGCACTCGGGAGAAGCAGGTGGATCTCTATAGGTTCAAAGCTAGCCTGGTCTACAGAGTGAGTTCCAGGACAGGCTTCAAAGTTACACAAAAATCCTGTCTTGAAAAACCAAACCAAAACAGAGAGCGAGATTGATTCACAGATGTGAATAATCATCTTCATCCTCATCATCATCATCAAAGTCAGGCAGAGGTGGTATATTCCTTTAATCCCAGCACTGAGGAGGCAGAGGTAGACAAATGTCTGTGAGTCAAGGCCAGCCTGTTCTACAAAGAGTTCCATGACAGCTAGAGCTATTACATGAGAAACCCTGTCTTGAAAAACCAAAATCATCATCATCATCGAGACAGAAAAAGTATTTAGAATCTAGACCATTTACGTTTATATAGCTGCAAAATTAAAATAATAAATAATCTTAATTACTATTATCTTACACATTATTGTTATGAGCAAATAATATACATAAAATCCTTGGGAAAGACCCTGGCATCTATAAGCCTGCAATAAGTTAATCAATTTCCATGCAAACTGTCATTATGTTTAGTTGTTATTGAGCCCACTTTCATTCTATCAGCTCTATAATTCAGGCTTGGGAATGACCTATTCCTGTGCTGTTAAAGAATTATTATTGTGGTTTTATAAATAGGGTTTCCCTTAGGTTTGTGAATAACTATGAGAAGGAAGGAGGGAGGGAGGAAAAAACAAAATACCTTTTGCCAGTTGTTGTGATACTATTGACATCACTTGATGTTTAGAGAGAACCAAAATAACTTTAAAGCCTTACCTTCATTTAAAATTATAGGACTGAGAGTAGTCTCCTTGATATATACTTTCCCCATCTGTGGTGGTTTGAATGCAATTGACCCCCATAAACTCAGAGGGATTGGCACTATTAGGAGAGGTGGCTTTGTTGGAGTAGGTGTGGTCTTATTACAAGAAGTGTGTCACCATGTGGGTGGGTTCTGAGGTCTCATATATGCTCAAGTCATATCCAGTGTCTCAGACCTCTTGCTGCTACTTTGAGGGATCAAGATGTAGTCCCTTCCCTCTCAGCTCCTTTCCCAGCTGCCTGCATGCTACTATGTCACATCATGTTTTCCTTTATAAAAGCTGCCATGGCCATGGGGTCTCTTCTCAGCAACAGAAACCCTAACTAAGACACCATCTCAATTTCTTTTCAAACCACTGATGGGTTTGGAATATAGCTTAGGAGAATAGCAGTCAAGCATGTGAAAGACTATGGGACTAACCCCAGAGTACCTGTTGGTGAGTTCTGTGAGGGTTGCTATTCTATGACATGATTACAGGATCAACTCCAGAGTACCTGTTGGTGAGTTCTGCGAAGGCTGCTATTCTATGACATAATTACAGGAAATTTTATGGTACCATAAATCATACCTCAACAAAAGCTGGCATTCCTCATAGACCGGTATCTTTTGACTTCTTAAATATGAGCCAATACTCTTAACATCATTAAAAACCATGTTGGGCTGAGACTCATCCTGTGATAACTGTCCTGGAGTTGCTTCCTCAAACCATTTGAAAAATTTACATTGCTTACCTTTGGGCCTATCACATGTATAAAAGAGACGACCCTAAGGGGGAAAAAGATATAAATAACTTAATGTACAGTGTTTGCCTAGGATGTATATTAGAATAGTGAAAAACTATTTCTATTTTTCTGTTTTCTGCACTATGTTTGTCAAGCATTTTAACAGCTGCCTGTTATTAATATATTCCAAAAAACAAATCACTTATTAATTTAAGCAATATATTAAAATTATAAAGTACCTATTTTTTTTTATTTATTTTCTCTTCATCAAGAGAGTATATTATCCTGAAAACAAAACCTAATTCAAGAGACTGGAGAGCTGGCTCAGCACTAAGAGTACTTGCTGCTCCTCCCGAGAACCTGGACTTGGTTTCCAGCAACCACATGACAACTGATAACTACGTGTAATTCCAGTCCTAGACTAGAGGATCTAGCACTCTCCTCTGGCTTCCATGGGCTCCAGGTATACATGTGGTGAACATATATATACAGACATTCACACATACACATTAAAAAAAAAACTATTGTTTTAAAATATATTTAAAAATTTGCCAGGCAGTGGTGGTGCACGCCTTTAATCCCAGCACTTGGGAGGCAGAGGCAGGCGGATCTCTGTGAGTTCAAGGCCAGCCTGGTCTACAAGAGCTGGTTTCAGGAGTGGCACCAAAGCTACATAGAAACCTTGTCTCGGAAAAAAACACTGACAATATATATGTAGAGATATAGAGATATATTTAAAAATTAGTAATAAATTATAATTTTATTTTTCACCAGTTAAATGTTCACTAGACAACTTGACATTGACCCAGAAACTACTAGCGATATCTGTGCATTTCTTTCTACATACACACATAAACACACACAAACATATACATAGATTTTGTCAAACAAATTCACCAAATGATGCATCTTATACTTTGTGACCTAACCCTTTAAACAAACAACATAGCATGAACATACAAACATACTATCAAATAATCTTGAAAACAACATGTTAGTGGCTCCATATTTCAATCTATATAGCTATGCTATTATTTATGAATTCTTGCTTTTGATTTTTTTTCTTTTTTTGAGACAGTTTCTCTGTGTAACAACTCTGGCTGTCCCAGAACTCATCTCTGCCTCCTGAGTGCTGAGATTAAAGGCATTATGCCACTACTGCCTGACTGCTTTTGGATTTTTAAGGTCAAATTTATATATTCAACTAATGATGCATACAAATAGTGCAATTATTTAACTGCTACTATAGGTGTAAGCAGTTTTACAAATGAGTAAAAGCTACCAATGTGTTATGAACCCTTCTTTGTGATACCCACAATACACATTAGGACAGCATACTTTTCTACTCACTTGGCCTTGTCTAGTGCTGGTTCAGTTTCCAACCTTCATTTCTTTCAGTCTCATCTGAGCATTTTCTAAACCCTAAAGCAGACCCCTTTCTCAGTGCTGATCCTGTGCTTATGCACACCCTTCCTACCTTACAGATGTAATTTTCTTCCCTGTATCAGTTTCCATCCACTACTACGCAATAAGCTCCTAAATTTTTTGAAAATTAACTTTAATTCTTATTTTTGTATTCTGGAAGACAGATCATTCATTTCATTAGAAAAGTACTGAGAGCTTATTATGTTACTAATGTCACAAAGAAAATTCACATCTCAGTTTCCGTAGTACATAAACTATGACTAAGGAAAGTGTGGGGAGGGAGCAGAAGCAATACCTTATTTGGGCCTTCTTTTTTAACCATGACAAGTTTGGCAGGTTGATTATGATGGCAGGATGGTAAATGATTTTTTCCACTTTTTAGTGTCTCTCCTTTTGACGATGTATAAAAGGATATGTCAACTTTGGAAAGTGCTTTGTACAACCTTTGCGCCAAATCAAATAGCAATATATTCAGATGCTCTACAAGAAAAAAAAAGAGCTGAAAATCATATACAAAATTATTTCATATTAGTATCAATTTCACTGTTTCTAGCCAATTTGAAAATAGCCTTTTGCTAGGCAGTGGTGGTGCACGCCTTTAATCCTAGCTGTCGGGAGGCAGAGGCAGGCGGATCTCTGTGGGTTTGAGACCAGCCTCGTCTACAAGAGCTAGTTCCAGGACAGGCTCCAAAGCCATAGAGAAACCCTGTCTCGAAAAAAAGAACAAAAGAAAACACATTCAGATCTAAGCATGGATCATATTTAACGGTTTCATTTACATGTAATGGACTCATTTATTTCTATTTTAATAGATAAAAAGCCATAATTTAAAAATTATTGCAATTTCTCACTTTTAAAGCTTTTGATCTGACATTCAAATAAAGAAATAATTTCTAAAATAAATTTCCAGAAGAAAATTTACTATGAAAATCCATAAGGTATTATTCTTTTTTATAGTTCTAATACTCACAATAGGTAATCATCAGAAAAAAAATATAACAGCCATACCTATGATAGAAGATGTAAAGATCTGCTTATAGTGAATGGGAGACTGGAAAACAGCTGGTACGTAAACTTGCCTTTGAGGGAGATAAGCTGATATTATTTTCTGCCCATTTGGGAAGCACAGCTCAGAACCATTTATCTCCTGAAAAAAAAAATCACTGTTTACCAACAAATTGCTTTTCATATATATAATGAAGAAAACACTAATTGTAGTTTTGAATTTTAGAATCCATGAAAATTGTTTTATGATCTAAAATAAAAAACAAAATAAAGCGTGAATATCTACATAAACTTCTAAGTCTTAAAAATACCAACTCTTCTCATTGGTCTCTTAATATGATTTTAATATGTTATAGCAAATTTTTAATAGATGCATGTGTCTTATTCTAATAATCCAATCAGCAAAACTGATTTGATAGTCAAAAATAAAAACTGTCATAGTGAGCTCAGTACTAGAAGGAGTGGCAGAAAGAGGAATAAGAGCTAATATTTATTAAATATCTTTTACATGCTCAACAGCATACCCAAGACTTTTAAATACATAATTCAATATTCATAATTACTGGGTAACATCTAACAAATAGCTACCTGATCAAAAAGTAAATCGTTCCCAAACAATCTGTGCCTTCTTCTGCTGGAATTCACAAAGAAACTACCAGAGAAAACGCACGGAGAGCTTGGAGACTTCCCTCACCTGTAAATCTTTGCCTCTGGAGTTGTAGCTGGCGGGGCTTCCTAACATAGCTTGAATTTCCACTGTCTCGGAAGTCTGCTTTGAGGTCAGAGAAAAAGCTTTCTTTCTGGAAGCCAACTCTCGACTGCTAAAGTCCTGCTGTTGTTGATAGAGCATGCCTTTCATCCTCTGCAAGTGCACAGGGTCTACAGAGCTTTCCTTCACAGCATTCCTCTGCTGCTCACTGTCCTCTGCCACTTCACCGCCAATTCTGCCTAGAGCAGCTGAGCTGCACTGGGATGTGTTTTGATATTTCAGCCACTTGCTTTGCACAGAATTCTTATGAAGAACTCCTAGAGTTCCTTTCCAGCGAGAAGTCTCACCCTGGTCCTCAGGCCCAAGGTCAAATGAAAGAACTGATTCTTCACACAGGTTTAACACAGAAGAACTAGAGGACTCTCGTGTGTCGTCATCAGCCATAAATGAACAGGACTCTAAGACTGCTGGCCCATTATCGGGAGGCAAAGTAATGAAGGGAACTGAGGCTCTGGTTGCACATGGAAACCTTTGAAGGTTTTTACTCCCCAAAAAACCAATGTTTTCCAATCCTGAAAGAAAACATAATGCTGATTCAATACAAATATTTAACCAGTCATCACCCAGACTCTAGAAAACAGTGGGTACATGGGCAAGGGCAGAAGGTTCTGACTTGCTGCATAGAAAAAGAAGATAACACTATTTTATTGTCCCCTCCCAAAGTAATATCAAAATCTAAAGGTTCAAAACTTAATGTATAGATCTGAAGACTCTGTTAAGGCTAGCAAATAAGTCCTCCTCTTCTCTTCTACAGAACTAAATGTCTAATTTAATTATTCATATTTATAGAACCTCTAAGTTTTCAAAGTATTCAAATCGGAGACAAGCTGCAGCACTCTCATTTTACAGAGGAAGTAACAGAGTCCAGAGCTCACAGTGTCTGTCAAGTAGGAAGAACACAGAATGAGTTGATATCTATTCACATTCCTTCTGTGGACAAAGTTAACAGCTCACTCAATATGATGTGATTGCAACTGTTTATTATATTTATGAATTATGATACCTTTCATAACAAAAATTTTTAGCTTTCTATGTTAAATTAATCATAGATGGGATAGTGAACTCATTTCAGATTTTGTCTGAATGAGCTTTGGAATTCCTTCTTTCTAGAAGCAGCTATTAGAATAGAGACGTTGCTGAAAGTGTAAAAAGCAATAAATATGTATTTGATAGATTAATGAATCAGCAAAACTGCATAGGAATTGAATACTATTAAAGTCTTTATCTAAAAATATAGATTCTTACTCTATTTGACACAGTCTCTATTTTATAGGGATTAAATTCTGACGACCACTTGGGAAGTAGTAGAGCAATAAGTGAGTCAATGAATATTCTTAGATGAAGTGTTATGTTATAATCCACCAACCTAATTGAGTAACAGTGACAGAAAATTAAAATGTCATTACAGAACTAAAGATTCATGCCTGTTTCAGAAGATGTATTCCCCCCATACGATCTCTTCCCCATCCATTTTCTATCCCCGAGTAGCCCCAGCTAGCCTTTAAGTACTGATCCTCCCGCCTTGTCTCCTGAGAGCTGGGATTGTAATACCATCTCACACCCATCCTCACCCCATGCACATCTCCTCCTACCTCCCTTTTCCACCTGCCTTCAATCAGACATAACCATGACGTCAACTCCAACTCAAGTACTGATTCACATTAATTTTTTTTCATGCTAATCATCAATTCACAACCAAAAAACCACTAATCACATATAACTTCAGACTAGGAAAAAAATACATAAAGGAAATTATCAAGAAAAAGAGAAGTTAGTGGGAAGTGATCCTATTAAACAATACAGTTTTCAAGAATCAGAAAATGACTTATAAGAAAAGTCAAAATAGATTTAAAAGCTTGAGTGAGGCCTGGGAACAATGATGGCATCAGCCACTGAAGAGTTCCTCATACCGACAGTATCCCAAAGCAAAATGAGGAGATGAAGAAGTTACGCCAAGGTCAACCAGTGGTGTTCATGAGACATTTGCTACGAACTACTTCACAACAGAAAAGAGGAGCCAAGTGTTGGCATTTTATATGGTGCCTGTGGGTTTTTTTGTTTGTTTGGTTGGTTGGTTTTGGTTTGGTTTTGGAGACAGGGTTTCTCTGTGTAACTACCTTGGCTGTCCTGACTTTAAACTCACAGAGATCCACCTGCCTCAGCCTCCTGAGTGCTGAGATTAAAGGCACATGCCACCGTCTAGCACACTGGCATTTTAGCTGCAAGAAGTCCTTCGACAGTAGAGACACTTTCAGAGGCAGTGAAGAGACAGTAGAGGAGGGAACAAGAACTAGAAAGGAAGGAAAATGCATTTGGAACAGCATCCATAACAGAAAAAAGCCTGAGGGAAGAGACACTTCTAGCCCAGTAACACTCTCACAGATAACAGCAGAGAAAACAAAGATCACCAGGGAAAGTCCTTGCTCTCAGAGATTCCTCAGAGAACTCAAGCACAGAGTCTTCATTTCTCGTGTTGAAAGAAAAAGTAGGTGCAGAGCTCGATGCAGAGATCTTTTGTTCTGGTGAAATCACCTGTCCAGAAAAAAGAAAATCACTAAGATGTTCTTACAGTGCCCTTTGCTATTTGAATTCCGATGACCTCTCTTCCAGAAGTCACTATTCTAAGCACATTGGGAACAAAGAACTATAAAATTTTCAACAAAAAGGACAGGCTAGCAAAAACTTATTAGTATAAACAATATTTTTAAGTACAAAAAAGGTTAGGATTTATTGTGAAGTGGATGACATTCTGATTTGGACTGATTCCATTATGAAGACTTAGTTCTGAGGGTAAATTTCCATTCTAATGGGCTCAACCCAAGTCCCATCTCATGTGTGCAAACTATATTTCTGCATACACAAGGTCTGAGCAGTTTTCTCTTATGTTCGTGGATTTCGGGTTATGCATAGTTGATATACATTTTAAGATATTCCTTCCAAGTGCAGGGACTCTTTAAATATATTCAGATCTGAACAGTCACAGTTCTCACTAGAATAGTTTTAAGTTGTGTCGCAGTTTTTGCCCAAAATCAAAACCTAATGACAGTCACACTTGATGCTGTTCTAGTTTGCCTTTAGTTGCTGTCATAAACACTTAAAAACAACTTAGGAGAGGATATGGTTTGTTTCAGCTTACGTTTTCAGGTAATAGCCCATTACTAAGGGATGCTGGGCCAAGTACTCATGCAGGAACTGAATCAGAAACCTTGAAGAAAGAATCCTTACTGGCTTGCTGGCTCTTACACAGCTCAGGACCACCTGCCCAGGAATGCCACTGCCCACATCCATCAACAATCAAGATAGTTCCTCAAAGATATGACCACAGGCAGGCCAATCTGATCGGAGTAATTCCCCGATCGATGTTCCCTCCTCCCAGGTGACTCTAGGCTTTGTAAAGATAACAATAAAGAACTGTCAGGCACAGTGTCACATGCGCTTAATCTCAGCATTCTGGAGACAGAGGCAGGCAGAGCTAGTGAGGCCAGCCAGGGCTACACTGTGAGACCCTGATTCAAAAAAAAAAAAAAAAAACAAAAACAAAGGGCTGGAGAGATGGCTTAGCAATTAAAAGTAGTGTTTGTTTTTCAGCTCCTAGTACTGATATGACAGCTCACAACTATCCAGTTTCAGGAACTCCAATACCCTCTTCTAGCTTCCCTGGGCACCAGACATGCAAGACATACATGTACACAGATGAACACGCAAGCAAAATACTCGTACACATAAAAGAAGAAATTCTTAAGTATTCCACCCTATTCCCCTACCTAGTACATTCTCCACAACTGGCGAGAGCTATTTCTAAAAACTAAGCTAAATCATTTTTCTTCACTGATGCAAACCCTCTAATTGCTCCCAGTCTATTCCAATGTAGACTGCTTTGTGATGTCTTACACGGCCCTACCTGACCAGGCCCCTGGCCTGCTCTCTGGCTTCACTTCTGTCACTTTCCTTGTCCCTCGTTCACCCCACATTATTCTACAAACTGGCCAACTGTCTGTTGACACAAATCCCTTTCCCCCAGAACACTGGCATGACATTCTCATCTCTACTCCAGTGTCAGCTATCAGACAGCTGACTTTACCTACGTACAACAGAACCCCAGGCCATCTGTACTGCCACCCCTTACATGGCTCTATCCTAACTCAGAGCACTTAAGCCCTTCCAGGTACTGTGTATTTATCTTTACTAGCATGTAAGCTGTATGAGGACAAGAATTTGCCTCTTTTATTCACAGGCCTATTTTGACAGTACAATAGAAGTAGGCAGTTGCTCATGAGAATATGTTTGTTGCCTGGGGATACAATTCAATGATAGAGCACTTGCCCAGCAAGTGTGAAGTCCTGATTTGATTCACAGCCCTGGGTGGGGAAGGTGGGAGGTGGGAGTTGAATGGTTGACAAACATATACATTTTTAGGAATTAGCCATAATTCTACTTTCCTATCTCTCATTCATTCTTTAATTCCCTCTGAATTGGCCACTACGCACACTATTTCATTGCAATTGTTCTTGCCAAGGTCACCATGATCTCCAAGTAGCTAATGAAATGGGACATATTTCTATATCCTTTTTATTGGAGGGCTCAGTAATAACAGACTCCATTCTGATGTAACCCAAAAGCACAGAGGCAATAAAAGGAAAAATTAGTAAAAGGGGTTCTAAGAAACTAAAAACTTTCTACATAGAAAAGAAAGAGATCAACTGAGACCACATACAGGATGGAAGAAGAACAGGCAAAGTATTCATCTGACAAGAGACTGTAAGATATCGGATTTGAAAGTGGCAAATGGTGCTGGGGGATGACTCAGTGGTAGAGAGCTGACCATAATTAGCATATAACAATAATTAGAAATATGGCAATGGACACAAATATACAAATTTCTTCCTCTTTTGTTCTTTTTTCCGTGACTGCCTAGAAGTCTCTATACAGCCCAAGCTGGCCTCAAACATTTTTTTTTCCTGCTTCAGGCTCTCAAATGCTGGGATTTACAATCAAGAGCCACTAAACACAACAAGTTTCTTTTTCAATAACTCAAGCAATGGTGATCACAAATTATAATATTATGAAGAGTGGGAAACAGTACAGACTTGGAAACACAGAAAAAAAGCAAACCAACATAGAGGAAAAACTAATAACACATAGGCTGATTTACTCCAGTAATTGTAGAAAGCCTCGAAATCTGGTACTGCTGAAAGGAGGCTAAGTCGGAAAATTACAAACATGCCAACCAGTCAGAAAGCAGGAGTGCCTTGTGTAGTCTGACTAGAGCTATTATGGTTCTTGCCAATTTACCCATGGACCCTTTTATAAGGATCTACAAAATGTAGTAAAAGAAAACAACTTGGTGAAATGCAACTATAAAAATGACTTTTACCTGTAGGAAGTCAGTCTGCACACAAGCGCTAGGCAACTCTGGTGTCCAGACTGGAGTACATGTCATGAAGTTTTCATATTCAACACTATCTGGAAGCTGACTGTATCCTAGCTGTGTGCTGTGTCCTCTCACCATTAC